AACAATCTCCAAATCTTCTTTATAAAATCATTTTGAATGAAGTTGGGTCTAGATGTCTGCTTAGAGAGACTTGTGAACAAACTTGGCTTTGGCATGCACGAATGGGTCATGTTAACTTTACTGCCCTCAAACAAATGTCAGACAAGAACATAGTTTGTGGACTACCAAAGATATATAACCCTACACGCTTGTGTGAGGGATGTCTAGTGGGAAAGCATACATGAAAATCATACCCATCACAAGCAGGCTTCAAGGCAAAACATAGGCTTGAGCTAGTACACGGAGACCTTTGTGGTCCTATTTCACCACCCATACCTGCTGGTAACCGCTATTTTATGTTGTTAGCTGATGATTTTACTCGAGTAATGTGGGTATATATGATGAAGACTAAAGATGAATCCTTCAGTGTTTTCAAGAAGTTCTGGATATCTGTTGAAACAAAAACAGGTGAGAAATCAAAGACCTTTCGAACAAATCGTGGTGGTGAATTTCTATCAAAACAATTTACCGTGTATTGTGAAGAAACCGGTCTAAACCGACACTACACGACACCATATTCTCCATAGCAAAACATAGTGGTGGAGAGACGAAATCGAATTGTTGTAGAGATGGCAAGAAGTATACTCAAGAGCATGCATGTACCAGAAATGTTATGGGGAAAGGTTGTACATCATGCTGTTTATGTTCTTAATCGGGTGACCACAAAAGCCTTAAAAGATGCAACACCTTATGAGATGTGGACTGGAAGAAAGCCACAAGTAGATCACTTAAGAGTGTTTGGATGTATTTCTCATGCAAGAGCAACACGAAGTCATCTTAAGAAACTTGATGATTGAAGCAAATGTTTGGTACAACTAGTATGCGAGACAGGAACAAAAGCATATAGATTGTTTGTGATGGGTTTTGGTCATAAGACATCCTATGTGTTCATACAAACCCTAATGCTTGGATCTAGGTTTCTCTATTGTACATGCTTTGAATTCAAGACTATAAACCCTAATTCTAGCATTCAAGTAATCATATTAATATGTAATTAGGTTTAAGATCATACCTTGATTGTTATGTAGCAATAACAATCCCAAATCTCCTTGATTTGACTTTGGAATGCTTAGAGTCACAAGTGTCACTCCTCTAATGGCTTACAAACACCAAGAGCAAATGGAGAAGGTATAAAGAGAGAGGAGAGAGATTAGAATTCGTCCTTAGGACTTCTTGGGAAGGGATACACGAATTCATGAGCCTTAGGGCCTTTATATAGGTGTAGAGATAGGGTTTCAGTCATTATCCTTATCTAGTTGCTTATCCACAAAGCAACCCATAAAATAATCCTTGAATCCTTATCATAGTCGAATTCTAAGGCATTATCTCCTTAAATTCGTTCACCCTATATATAAGATAATCCTTACCTTATTTTGTAACTATCACATAATTATAAATCAGCCCCTCTAGTTTAATTAACTACACTTGATCACAAAATTAATTCCTAATTAATTATTGACCAATATTAATTAAACAAACATGATTTCTCCTTTAATATATTATTCTTATAACATATTAATAAATCATAATAAACTCTCTCTCTCTCTCTCTATTTATTTATCCAATCAAGTTGCTTTGGTGAAGGCAACCCAAAAGGACCATGCACCATCGGGTCAAGTACATACCAAAATAATTATGGACTTAGACACTAATCTAACAGTCTCCCACTTGGATAAGTCTAACAACTATTATGCGTATGACTTCAGATCCCGATCTGCAATCGTAGCTTTCCAAAGCCGCTGTCAACTCTGATCATATCAGATACGCGTGTCCTTAGATAAGGGATCATATATTCCTCCATTCTAGATATCATATGAGATATGATTTTTAATCATTCTCTTTGTACTACTTCTCGATTTCTGATTTATGACGAAAGACTAACCGAACAAATCAAATTAGCCCTAGCCCGGCCGAGCATTTACGTATGTCATCACTAAACCATCGAGGGGCCCAAAGATATCGCTTTTATCCTTCTTTGGATAAAAGGAACGGATAAACTTTGATACAATGCTCGCTTGCACTTACTAACCAAATCACACACAACAATATGTTTTATAACACCAAGTTACTAGTGCGTTTACATATTATCAATGTGCAACCGATTAGCAAGATACAACTCACACATCTCGGTTTCAAGAATATAAGATGTTATCGTCTCACCAATCACTCGAGATATATCCAAGTGAGCGTGGGTTTAATCCAATGCTCAAATCATATTCATAAGCACTCATGAACGTTGCAGCAAACATTTGCTTATGTCTAATACTCTTTTAGACAATCCACACACCAATTCACGACAGTCTTCATTCATATCTACTTCCAACATATGAACGATGTGGCCCGTTCGAATAATTCGATTATTCTTAATAAACTCAATTATTCTGGAAGTCAAAACATGCAAAGGTGAAACACAAGAATAATACTAATCCCATATGGCCTCAAACCTTTGAGTATAAATAAAACACTTTTATTTATCACCATATCGATTACTCATTATTTGTCGTTTCGGGTAATCAACTTCTTACTTGAATTATTACACTTGTCCCATGCTCCTAGCATGCACACAATGTTTACCTATGGTTCTTACTTTTGTGAAATAGACAAATTGAACACATTTCCAATCATTCTCATTTTACACACTCCAAATCCATTTTCTTAAGTGTAAGAATATCAAATTCTTGTTACTTATAGAATATGCTAGATTCTAACACTTTATGCAATGATCTTTTGTAATGTCACTGCACCAAAGTCTCAAAGACTATTGCCAATGATATTACAAATCCTCTATCGGAGATTGTTACAAGACAATTCCTTAGATATGATGTCTCACTCAAAGTACATTCCTTTGAACATCCTTTTGCATAAAAGTTTCTAATCTAGACATAGATTTTCAATATTTACTTCCCAATATGGACAGCTTCCATATTTCCATATGACAACTCATTCTTAATAGAATCTTATCTATTCGTAATGATGTCGATAGTGTCCATCCAATATGGAAATATTTCCATATTTCCAATACTATACTTCCAACTACTCACAACGACCAATTCTCGTCGAACTTCGAATCGTCCTTTGATAGTTGTTTAATTATTTTAGTCAAAACCAATTCTAGTCCCTTTTCCCTCTAAATGCACTGGACATTTGGAAAATTTTAGAATAGTCAAACATTAAAGAACTTGCAATTGATCCTATACCCGAAGCGTATGGGACACGATGCATAATGCTTTATTTGCTATGTTCTCAAAATTCGAATTGTGAAAAGGAATGTCGTAATCATAATCGAAATTTTAAGAACACACTATGTACCTTTGACTAAATTTATTAACATTTCTCAACCTAGACCTTTAGATTTGAAATGAAGCATAATATTCTCTCCCTTAATTATAGCAAAACAACTATACAACCCTTACGACTTTGCAAGGTATAACTCTTGTTTTCTATAATTAATATTGCCAACTTGCAAACTTTCCATTAATAATCATACATCATAACATTTATGCTCCACTATTATGATGATTATTATAAACATAACACTTATGCTCCCACTAGCTTCGACATGTATTCAAAACAGCTTAACTTTTAGAAAAACAATACTTATTGAATTTCTTAAGTTCATGTTTCTAATACTTAGTGCTTTGATAATCTTTTATCAAGGCTTCTTGAACTTATACACCTTTGCCTTAGATAGTTCATATGTGTGTCTAAACAATTAAACTAATTGCCAAACCTCACAATTCAAAATTATGGAAAGGGATACCGTAACCATGAATTGAATTCGAGAATGCAATTTACAATCACTATCTTCTTAAAATCTTTCTTAGTGAAAGCATTTCCTCACAATCATTTTCATGAAGGAGGAAATCTTATGACACTTAGATTTTAATGGTTTATATGTTCATATCCATGTGAATTTGTTAAAACCAGAGTTTACGACAAATTCAAACTCATATGGACCGAACTCTTTTAATCTTGATTTCTTGCCTTATGGTAGCACAGCTGCCCACCACGTCTTCCAAGTAGTTAAGCAGCTCACCTTTCCTATCAATGTACCTTTCATTGATTAAGGTGCCTTGCCTTTT